GCCATCTTGTGATGATGTGAGGGCGTTGCACCAAGGCACGAGGGCCACCTAGCCTTTTATTAGTATAGATTTAAAAATTGTAAAACACGGACTCTTTTGTAATATCACTTAGCTTAAACACATTATATAGCTGTATAAAAATATTTGTTTATATCCTTATTCTATACGGATATTTCTATTTAATTTTTAAACTTTTACTTTTAAAATGATTTTGATAAAAACAAAGACATATGATCAATGTTTCTCTCTCCCTCTCCCCTTTCTAAAAGTCAATGAACATGTCCTCAGGGGAAGATTACAATAATAAACCAAAACACACACACACACACACACCAGCCTACGTCTACAGCGGGCTGGATAATCAGTATCACTTTCATTTTTACATCTTGTCCACTTGAAGGTCCTCAGGGGCAATAACACGGGGGAAGTCATCCTGTGATAACAATGCCTTCTTTTTTTTTTTTTTTTAATGCCTTCTTCTGGAATATTCTTTTGAGGGTTCTTCTCTTCCTCTTGTGGTTTCCTTTTCTTTTGCCTCTTTAAAAATTTTTAATTTAAATTTTATCTTGTTAATGCTATTGCAAATGCCCCCCATTTCCCCCTTTGCCCACCTTCACCACGCCTCCATTCCCCCCATTACCTTGACCCTCACCACATTATTGTCCATGTCCATGGGCTATGCATTCATTTTCTTTATCTAATCCCTTCACCTTCCTTTCCCCAGTTCTCCCCAACCTCCCTTCCCACTAAGATCTGCCATTCTATTCCATGCATCCATGTCTCTGGATCTATTTTGTTCTTCTGTTTATTTTATTCATTAGATTGCACACATAAGTGAGAACATATGATATTTATCTTTCTCTGACTGGCTTATTTCACTTAGCATAATACTTTCTAGGTCTCTCCATGCTGTCTCACAGGGTAAAATTTCCTTTTTTTTTTTTTTTTATAGCTACATTGTGTAAATGTGCCACAGCTCTTTTATTCACTCATCTGCTGATGGGCACTTGGGCTATTTCCAGGTCTTGCTATTATAAATAAAGTTGCTATGAACATAAGAGTGCACATATTCTTTCTGATGGCTGTTTCAGACTTCTTTGGATATATTCCTAGAAGTAGGATCACGGGGTCAAATGGCAGTTCCACTTTTAATTTTTTGAGGAAACTCCATACTGTTTTCTATAGTGGCTGTACCAGTCGGCATTCCCACCAGCAGTGAACTAGGGTTCCCTTTTCCCAACATCTTCACCAGCACTTGTTGTTGATTTATTGAGGGTAACCATTCCGGCAAGTGTGAAGTGGTACCTCAATGTTATTTTAATATGCATCTCTCTGGTAATTAGTGATGTTGAGCATCCTTTCATATGCCTATTGGCCATCTGTAGGCCCTCTTTGGAGAAGTGTTTATTTAGGCTCTTTGCCCATTTTTTAATTGGGTTGTTTGTCTTTCTTTTGTTGAGCTGTATGAGTACTTTATACATTTTGGAAATTAACCCCTTATTAGATGTATCATTGGCAAATATGTTCTCCCATACAGTGGGCTCCCTTTTAATTTTTAACAAATATGTTTTTATTGATTTCAGAGAGGAAGGGAAAGGGAGAGAAAAATTGAAACATCAGTGATGAGAATCATTGATCAGCTGCCTCCTGCACGCTCCTTACTGAGGATTAAGCCTGCAACCCGGGCATGTGCTCTTGACTGGAATTGAATCTGGGACCCTTCAGTCCGCAGGTCAACACTCTATCCACTGAGCCTAAGCAGCTAGGGCTTCCTTTTAATTTTGATGCTGGTTTCTTTTGCTGAGCAGAAGCTTTTTATTTTGGTGTAGTCCCACTTGTTTATTTTTTCCTTTGTTTCTCTTGCCCTAGGAGATGTATCGGTGAAAACTCTGCTATATGAAATGCCCGATATTTTGTTGCCTATGCTTTCTGCTAGGATTTTTATGATCTCAGGACTTAACATTTAGGTCTTTTATCCATTTTGAGTTTATTCTTGTGTGTGGTGTAAGTTGGTGGTCTAGTTTCATTTTGTTTGCATGTATCTGTCCAATTTTCCCAACACCATGTATTGAAGAGACTATCTTTACTCCACTGTATGCTCTTGCCTCCTTTGTCAAATGTTAATTGAGCATATTGGCTCAGGTCAATTTCTGGGGTCTCTGTTCTGTTCCATTGATCTATATGTCTGTTCTTGTGCTAATACCAGACTGTTTTTATTACAGTGGCTGTGCAGTATAACCTGATATCTGGTATTGAGAACCCTTCAACTTTGTTCTTTTGCAAGATTGCTCTATTTGGGGTCTTTTTTGGTTCTATATGATTTTTTTTTTTTTAGTATTTTTTCTAGATCTGGGAAATATGCTGTTGGTATTTTTTTTCTTTATTGATTAAGGCAGCGGTTCTCAACCTGTGGGTTGAGACCGCTTTGGGGGTCGAACAACCCTTTCACAGGGGTCGCCTAAGACCATCAGAAAACCCATATATAATTACATATTGTTTTTGTGATTAATCACTATGCTTTAATTATGTTCAATTTGTAACAATGAAAATACATCCTGCATATCAGATATTTACATTATGATTCATAACAGTACCAAAATTATAATTATGAAGTAGCAACGAAAATAATTTTATGGTTGGGGGTCACCACAACATGAGGAACTGTATTAAAGGGTCGCGGCATTAGGAAGGTTGAGAACCACTGGATTAAGGTATTACTTATGTGTCCTTATCCCCTCATATCCCCCCCGACCTCCCCACTCATGTCCTCACCCCCCTGTTGTCTGTGTCCATTAGTTAGGCTTATATGCATGCCTACAAGTCCTTTGGTTGATCTCTCTTCCTTACCGCACCCTCCCTTCTTCTTTCTTCTTTCTTCTTTCTTCTTTCTTCTTTCTTCTTTCTTCTTTCTTCTTTCTTCTTTCTTCTTTCTTCTTTCTTCTTTCTTCTTTCTTCTTTCTTCTTTCTTCTTTCTTCTTTCTTCTTTCTTCTTTCTTCTTTCTTCTTTCTTCTTTCTTCTTTCTTCTTTCTTCTTTCTTCTTTCTTCTTTCTTCTTTCTTCTTTCTTCTTTCTTCTTTCTTCTTTCTTCTTTCTTCTTTCTTCTTTCTTCTTTCTTCTTCTT